ATTGTTTTCAGTATTCCCATTAAGCTTCTCTGACTATAACTATCATTCTTCCATCTACAAGTAATAATGTATACACAAATCCGGCTGTTCAGATAAGAATAATTTCTGAACTCGAATATCTAATGAAACAGGATTTTGTTATTTTAAAAAAATAGTGGATTTTCTGGGCATTTTTAAGAGCTCTTTGGTGTACATTTTTTTTTTAAATTGCAAGTCTTATGAACTATGGTTGTATTTATGTTATGAAGACAGTTCATGATGAAATGACAAGCACACAATCTAAGCTAATCTTCAAACTGATGTAAATATTTAATTGATAACTGTATTAATAAACTTTTTTCCAGCAATGTTAAGTGATGCCTTCTTTATAATTGCAAAGGAAAATGTATGGATTTGAAACATTCTCAAATTCTGTTCCGATATCATTAACAACTGACATAAAAAAACAACAGGTTTTGGTTAGAGCCACATTCCTGGTGTATATTCACCAAAAAGTACTTTACTTTCTCAGGTAGGACTAGGAGAAATGATAACAAAGCAGGTTGCTTGGGCTATACTTAAAGTGGCTCTGTCACCAAATATAAACATTAGAGAAAATCAGATTGCTCAGGTTTTCATAAAATAAATAAAGAACACGTGGGACTACTTTTTCTTATGTATAGCAGTCAGGTTATCTAAATCTGACAATGAGCAGAACAGAACAAGGTTCTGTTTCAGTTGCCAATAAAATGCACCCACAATCCACAAGTAAAATCAGTCCCACAGAAGGGAAGCTGTAGACATTATGGACAGAGGAGAATAAAATGGTGGCACCCAGATATAGAGATCCAGCACAAGGAAGGAAAGATAGTAAATATAAATAAAGGCAAGTGGCAGAAATTCAAAAGAAAAACAGACATGACATGGCCGTGTTAAGCCTTCCTCCAATTGAAAATTATCCATCATTCTCTAGAATCTCGGAGAATAATTTGACATTCAAATGCTGCCCAGTGGCATTGTTTGCAGACTTCAAGGCTTCACCTCATATTGTAGTTGGGCTTTAGAAATATTTCAAACCAGGCTGTTGGGGGTTTCTGACATTAGTGTTGGATTATTAAATTGTCACACCTGTTTTCACCAACAGGACCTTGCTCGAAAGAAACAGTAGTCCCAAATCTCATATACAGAACAGGTAGAGGTGTGTTTTTATATTTAAGTTTTTTCTTCCTGATGATGGACAACACGGCACACACAAGTGAATCTGGAAACACATAAGTGGCAAAAAGTTCTTATTAATCTTAGAAATTCTGTATTCCTTCCATCAAAGATAGGGTAACAAGGTAAGTTAAACTTTAAAATATGTTTCTTGCTACAGATATTTTACTGTGTATTAAACTATGGCATATGAAGGTTATAAAAATTACTATTGTGCATCAAGTGCACATCTTAAGTTGGACTTTGGAAAGTCTTCGTTGACAGAGAAGCATGAGAAATCAAATTTTCACAATACCAGAGTTCCCAGCTTCACATGCAGTTGGGCGCAGACAGGCATTGTGTTTTAGACATAACTGTGTTTTTGCAGGAATTTGTAGCAATGAGTGTGGTTGTAACGGAACTCCCCGTACTCCGACTGAGAACTAGATATGTGCAATTTATTTTGGTCCGAATATGAATCCGGACGAATTTAGGGCAATTTGGACATTCGGGTACTTCTGAATGTCCGCATTTCCAAAGTGCCGAATTGCCGAGGTCCCGAAGTTCCAAAATTGCTGAATTGCTGAAGTTCCAAAGTTGCCAAAGTTCCGAAGTGTCAAAGTGCCGAAGTTCCGAAGCACAGTATTGCCTAAATACTAACTTACTTACCCAATGAAAGAAGAAGAATGTTACATTGTATACAATTTTAAATAAAAAGTATACAAACATAGCCAAACATTCAGCTGTAAGCATTTGCAAGATTGCCAGAAGAAAAACAAAGATAGAGCCAAAAATTAGGTACACTAAAGAAACGGGGGGTAACCCCAAGTAGGAAATATCAGAAAGAAGGGTGGTGTACCTACACAGTCTGAAATTGGAGTCAAAGATGCATGACTTATTGTTAAATCTCAGAAATAACGGACTGATCACTGCCAGACATAGTACTGGATTAATAAAATGCTTCAATCAGAAGGCAAAAAATAAATACATTTTATTCAACAATGACAAGGATAATGTGTGGTGAATGTGCCTGTCTACAAACGATTAACAAATAATGGTGCATTAGAAATCTATACCCTGTTAAAAAATACCTAGTGGTATAAAAAAAATCACAATGTAAGCTATGGTATATTCCATAATTGTATGCAACAACCGCTAACAAAAATCTAGGATATGGTCTCTAGTTATGTGCGACAACCGCTTACAAAAATAAATGAACTGTCAAGACTATCTAGTCTAACTAACAATTTGACTGATAAGGACTGCACAGGTAGATTGGCAAGTGTGGAGTCCCAACAGTAAAATAAATCGATAAGAAAATGAGCTGCTGGATGTAAAACCAGCTAAATGATCTATTAGTCACTAAGTTTATATATCTCTTAGTGTTCTCCTTAATGTTCATTAGATTCAGCATACAATGTGCTCCACCATTGGAAGCAATATATCTCTTACTACAGCTCAAATCACTGTTGGGGAACACCAGACCAGAGTTATACTTGGTGAAACTGGTCGGTCTATAGATTAATGCGGAAGGGGGATAAGTATTAGTGGGTCCTATAGGATCACTAAATGCAAAGTTCTAAGAGTTTCTAATAGTGCTGCTCTTACAGATGAACTAAATATGAAAACCTTATCAGGGTAATGACACCTGCATAGTAAAATATCTATGCTAAAAACTCCTGACACTATAATTCCCCCTGTGCCTTCAAGGGCACCTGCCGCTAGTCCCCCTAGGCTAGTGCCGCTAAGGTGGTGGCCAAAAATCGAATTAAATAATAAAATGATAAAGAAGTAAGCTAATCAATTCAGTGGCTCGGTTGCAAGTTTTAAGTGCTGGTTACTAAATCATGAGGACAGCACGCTAAGATCCCCTGACGCGCGCGTTTCGCCCAACCTGGCTCATCAGAAGGGAACCAGTCAGTACACACCATTCAGTTTAAATATGGAGAGAAATCCTCCTATTGGTGCCATGTGGCATCTTCTAATTGGTAAGTTCCAAGCAACGTAATAGATGACGTAGAGGGGGAATCATCTCGGTAGATTTGATTAACCCCTTACTGGATAACTAGAGATGGTCCATCTTAGTAAACATACGGACCTAATATTAAACTGGACTAGTTTAGAATTATACAAATTACAAAGTATGCAGTTAAAGCATTTGCCAACAAGATGTTAAAGTTATACAAATATTGACTCAAAAAAGGGGGGAGAATCAAATAATTGTAACATGGGAATATCATAAAATTCCCAACAAAGTGTAAAGATCATAGACACATATATTCGATCAACGGCTGATTTCCGTGCCGGAGATATTCTGTGAAGAATATTTACGAGGGTTACATTGGTTTAAGCAGCTATGAGAAAATGTGTGATCGAACATTTTACTGACTAATAAGCCAGAGTATAAAAATCGCTACAGTTATAGGTACTTTGTTTCAAGTCAATGTTTCATCTGTGGAAAGTATCCAAACAGACACTATGATTCATGGGATCAGTGTTATAAGATATTCACTTTTGTGAAGGAGTCAAAACATGGGGGTATATCAACTAAATATCCAAACTTCCAATTTATCATAAAATAGTTAATGCTTAGAGAAAGCAACTATTTATTAGGTAATTTAGTGATGTTAATATAACAATATATGATTTATCTGTCATAGAGGAGTCAAAACTTCATAAAGGTATATACACTGTCCAAAATCATTATGTAATTAGTACTAAAACTATATTAATATTTTTCAGACGGTCAGTGATGTTAACACCATTACTTGTGTATGAATGGAGTAAAATTAAGGCCATCTGGTGTAAGTGTTTTTAGATGATAAATCCATCTTGACTCCTTCATGAGTAGTTTTATTATAGAATATACCATAGCTTACATTGTGATTTTTTATACCACTAGGTATTTTTTAACAGGGTATAGATTTCTAATACCCATTATTTGTTAATTGTTTGTACACAGGCACATTCACCACACATTATCCTTGTCATAAGGTTTTTGTTGAATAAAAAATATTTATTTTTTGCCTTCTGATTGAGGCATTATTTTAATCCAGTACTATGTCTGGCAGTGATCAGTCCGTTATTTCTGAGATTTAACAATAAGTCATGCATTTTTTACTCCAATTTCAGACTGTGTAGGTACACCACCCTTCTTTCTGATATTTCCTACTTGGGGTTACCCCCGTTTCTTTAGGGTACCTAATTTTTGGCTCTATTTTTGTTTTTCTTCTGGCAATCTTTTATATCAGGTTTTAATACCTATCAGAGCCAAAATACAGTTTCACATAATATGTCAACCTTCCTAATAGGCATGGCGCCCAGGGGAGCAAGGGCCCCCCTGGATTTTTCAGCTTGTTCTGCTATTTTTCGTGTGAGATTTAGAATGAACTGCAATACCGGCGCCGGCCAGTAGGTGGCGCTGTGTATGGAGAGAGACAGGGATAGGAAGCTGCATCTTATCCCTGCTTCTCTCTGCTGATTGAAACCGCAGGGGAGCAACACATGCAGCCAGAGACAGCCTACAGATCAGGTAAGTGAGGGATGGGGGGGAGGGTTTGAGATAGCCTATAGATTTGGGGGGGCAGCAGCCTATAGATTTTTGGGGGGGCAGCAGCCTATAGATTTTTTGGGGGCAGCAGCCAGGGTAGTAGCAGCCTATAGATTTGTTTTGGGGGCAGAAGCCTATAGATTTTTGGGGCAGCAGTCTATAGATTTGGGGAGCAGCCTATAGATTTGGTGGGCAGCAGCCTATAGATTAGGGGAGTGAGGCATGGGGGGGCAGCCTATAGATAAGGGAAGTGAGCATAGGCATGCGCAGCCTATTGCATTAGGGTGTGCACCCTAAAGCACAAACACGCCATGTGTATATGTGTGTGTATATAACAGATATATATATATATATATATATACACACACACACACATATACACATGGCGTGTTTGTGCTTTAGGGTGCACACCCTAATGCAATAGGCTGCACACACACTGCTTAGTTGTGAAATTGAAATCTTATCTTCAAGATACCAAACAGACTCTAATTTTATTAGAAGATCTGGAGGCACCACCATATTGCCTTTTGGGTAGCCTTGATGTGGTAGCACTCTACAACAATATTCCACATAATATAGGACTACAGGCCTACAGGATATATATTTTCTTAACAAAACACCAGAATTTACATCAGCACAAAGCAGTTTCATTGTGAAGTTACTTGAATATGTTTTGACTCATAATTTTTTCGCATTTAATGGGAAATATTACTTGCAGCTGAGGGGCACGGCGATGGGTACTGCCTGTGCCCCAAGCTACGCCAACCTTTACTTAGGCTGGTGGGAGGAAACTATACTGGTGGAAGCCATCAAGGACCGGTATGAAACGTGTATCTATAGTTGGCATAGATACATTGATGACATACTGGTCTTCTGGCTAGGATCCATCAAAAGATTTCAAGATCTTGTGAAAGAGCTCAATCATAACAACATAGGTCTTCAACTTACACACGTTTTTGATTCCGAACATCTGGTATTCTTAGACCTGAATATTAAAATTCAGGAAGATGGTAAAATTGAAACTGAACTCTTCAGAAAGGATACAGCAACTAACAGCTTGCTCAACTGGACGAGTTACCATCCAGTAAGATTAAAATCAGGTATACCATTCGGACAATATTTACGTGCAAGACGTAGTTGCTCAAATGAAGCAACCTTTCAAATTGAAGCGAATAAACTTAGAACTATGTTCAAACAAAAGGATTACCCCAATAAAATTCTCAAACGAGCGTATCAACGAGCAATGGCAACAAATAGGAGTGAAAGTTTAAGAACAACGAGACCAAGGAAGGAAACAAAGACAACTCACTGTATTGGCACATATGACTTACACTGGGACTCAGTACAACAAATAATGTCCCATAATTGGCCAACTCTACAACATGATATAGAGTTAAACGAGAATATTGCTAAGTTTCCTCAAATTACAGCACATAGGGCAAGAAACCTTAAAGATCATCTGGTCCACAGTCATACTGAACCTACTAAACCAGCTCAAACTACATGGTTAACACAGACAACAGGCGTCTACCGTTGTGGACACTGCAAGGCATGTCAGTATATTAAACCTACCAAAACGGTAGTAAGCTCCAAAACAAAAAAAGAATACAGAATTAAGGAGTTTATTAATTGCAGTTCCACTCGGGTGATTTATCTTATCACCTGTAGCTGTGGTATCCAGTATATAGGAAAAACCTACCAGCAATTTAAACGCAGGATCTTACAGCATTTATGCTCAATTACGAATACCAAAATATCCACTCCTGTATCCAACCACGTTCGAAATTATCATGAAAGTGACCCTACACATCTCACATTTCAAGCACCTGAGAAACTTACTGTAAACACTAGGAAAGGGAATTTCAATAAAACACTACTCACGAAGGAGTCAAGATGGATTTGTAAGCATTTGCAACACTTACAACAATCAAGTAACATACATTCATATAAAATGTAAGTTACTTAGCCTGTCAATGTAATGACAGGAATGAATAAGTAGATAACTCCCTAATTCCCACGGTATTAGGGAGCTATCTCCTAAAAGGCTGAAAGACCTAAATTGGTCTTTCAGCCAAATTTAATACTAAGTAAAAGATTACTTAGTATTAGTAAGTATGCCTCTTACACTATACGAGGTAGGGGCATATCTAAAGCAACAGTGAGCAGCCTGTGGCTGCTCACTGTTAAAAAAAAAAAAAAGGTCCCCCCTCCTGAGCCCCCATCCCTGAGCGGCAGGTGGGGGCCCTAAATACTAATAAGGGGGGGACCTAATGTCCTCCCCCCTGGCCCCCACCCCTGTGCGGTGGGTGGGGGCCCTAAATACTAATAAGGGGGGGACCTAATGTCCTCCCCCCTGGCCCCCACCCCTGAGCGGCAGGTTGGGACCCTAAATACCAATAGGGGGGGACCTATTGTCCTCCCCCCGCCCCCACCCCTGAGTGGTGGATGGGGCCCTAAAAAATTTTTTTAAACCCCTAGTCACCCCTTCCCCCCCAAAAAATTTAACCCCCTACCTACCCCCCTCACCCTAAAAATAATGAGGGGGCACCTTTAACTAAGTACCTGTAAAAAAAATAAAACATACCATTCAATGTTTTCTTTCTTCTAAAATCTTTTTTCAGCCCCAAAAAAGGCCAAATAAAAAACCATAATAACCGATGCAATAAAAAAAAAAAAAATTAACCCCCTAAACGGCACCCCCAGGCATAAAAGGGTTAAACCACCGTTTAGTAGATCTTCCCTTCCAGAGACACAGGCGCAGCTACTGCAGAACACCAAACTCTCGAACTGAATACAAGGGAATGCTCCAAACTCCCGAACTGCATACAAGGGAATGCTCCAAACTCCCAAACCGCAAACAAGGGAATGCTCCAAACTCCCGAACTGCATACAAGGGAATGCTCCAAACTCCCGAACCGCAAACAAGGGAATGCTCCAAACTCCCGAACCGCATACAAGGAAATGCTCCAAACCTCCGAACCGCATACAAGGAAATGCTCCAAACTCCCGAACCGCATACAAGGGAATGCTCCAAACTCCCGAACTGCATACAAAGTTGCACTCTAAACTCCCGAACTGGAACCTCACGAACAGCTGCTAGCAGACGAACAGGAAAAGCACCCAAGCGGCTTACACTCCTGGCAATCAGTCTCTAACAGCATACAGTAAATCCCCCCAAAGACGAGACAGAGCTCCGTGTTGAGGGTCAAGAAGTGGTCTGGTTTATTCAGGGCTACCTGCCCAGTATTTATGCAGGTCTCCCACCTGGTGGACACTCCCCTAGGGGACCAGATGGGAGACTGTAACAAAGGACAGACATGAACCAATGACAGACACACAGAGGTAAAACATCCCCACAATACATCCTAATTCCCCTCCCTCTGTCCTAGAGATAATTGGGAAGTAATCCAATTATCTCCCAGGATAGAGGCAAAACTCCATTAACCACATGGCAGTAAAAGACAGTAAAAGACATAAAAATTTATAAAGTTACAACTGTTGCACAAAACATATACATTCTACCAATCCCCAGATAGCTTAGATCTGAGCGCACATTATTACCGGATGGCGCTCAGATCACATACATTCAGTTCAATCACCATGGAGCCAAAGTCTTTCCCACAGTCTTTCGTTACACGAATAGGCTACATGGCATGGCTCTCTGGGGTAATGCTGTTCATACGGTTAAACTACCGAATGAACAGGCATCCTGTTAAATGACCGAATGCAGAAGCAAGGAGGCTGACGGCTCAGCGGTGTTTAGTGATTAAAGCTGAGGGGAGTATGCAGAGCATAGCAATCCCCAGTGTGAGTATAGCTGTCCTCTCCAATCACGAGACAAGACTACGTGTTGAGGGTCAAGAAGATCTCCATTAGACAATCGAACACCGCTGAAACTTAACCCCGGTTTCACTTCGACAGAAGTCGAGGTGCGTTCAACGATTCGAACGCCGCCTTCGGATGGGACTTGGTTATTTTTCAGGGCAGAAATAGACCGACCACATAGCCTGAATCTGTGGAACTGTTTTGGGCATGCAAACAGGCGTGCGGTCGGTCCAAAGAGACTTTTTAATATTTCTGGAACCCCTGAACGGATTTGTACGAATTTTTAATATATTTTTCCCCAAGTTGTGTTGTTCATAAAAATAAGTTTTATTCCTGTATGATGAAAAATCTGAAAGTTTAGCTTGTAGATAATTGAGTAGATACAGTAAGAAACTCAATTATCTCCCAAGCAGAGGGGAGGGAATATGTGGGTTGCAACCATTGTATGATTGGTTAACGTCTAATTAGTTGTGGATGTCTCCCTTGCATGGGAGCACCACATAAAAGGAGAGTACCTGTCATAAAACCTCAGTTCTACTTTACCCTTCAAAACTTAGCTTTGTCTCGTTATTCAAAGGGAACCTGCTTAGCTAATCACTAGCTCTTTTAAGAGCTATACCTCTCTCTCTCTACTTGGATCCAGCTGTTAGAAAGAAGGCTACTCCATTACTGCACAGCACCTTGCCGGGAAAAAGGACGTCTCCAACGGCTGATACCCCTCTCCACTGGGGTAGCCGTTACAGCTGTTTTAAACACAGCTTTTTTCACACCATAGCATGGGTGGTGATCCAAAAGGACCAGAGTGCAGTAAACAGCCATGGATGTATAGTTTTGACCCAGTGGGATGTGTCAGGATAGTTCTCATTCTGGTCTGGAAGTTGAAGTCTCTCTGAGAGCATATGGCAAAGTGTAAAAAAGATTGTTGTGAGAGCAAACACAATAAAACTCCCCACAATGCAAATAGAAAAATGACTGCAGTACACAGGAGTCAAGTCCTGGGTAAAAAAGTGCAGGAACTCACCCAAGATCCACTCCCCTCCACACAAAAAATAATTATACGCTTGTATGCAGGGGCTGAGTAAGGGCACGGGGCTGAGGAAGAGGGACAGGAGCTTAGGAGGGGGGACATGGGCTGAGGAAGGGGACATGGTCTGAGGAAGGGGACAGGAACTGAGAAGGGTGACAGGGCCTGAGGAGGGGGACAGGAACTGAGAAGGGGGAAAGGGCCTTAGGAGGGGGACAGGGGCTGAGGAGAGGGACAGGGGCTGAGGAGGGGGACAGGGGCTGAGGGGGACAGGCTGAGGAAGCGGGGACATGGGCTGAGTATGTATTGCGGGGCTGAGGATAGGGGCTGACAAAGGGGGCAGGGCCTGAGGAGGGGTGCCTGAGGTAAAAGGACAGGTACTCAGGAAAAGGGACAGAGGGGACAGGCTGAGGAAGAGGGACAGGAGCTTAGGAGGGGGCAGGGCTGAGAAGGGGACAGGCTGAGGAAAGGGGCAGGCTGAGAGGGACAGGGGACTGGAGGTAGAGGACGGGACCCAGGAAAGGGACATGGGAGGGGGGACAGGCTGGAAGAAGAGGGACAGG